AAAWTWAATTTTTAAAAATTTTAGCGGTGTACCAAGTTTTTGGAGGTTGTTCTGTAAAGGAAAAGCGGCAAGGAAAACAACGCCTCGAGCCGATAGACTAGTAAATTAACCATGCGAACGACTCAAAATACGTGTTTCCGCCGCAAAACCTAGCGCATGCGTATAGGTTATTCCGATCTGTCAGATGGCGGATGGTTTGTTGACTTTTTATGTCAGTTTGTGTTTTATCTGAACACAAAACACGAATCGCACGAACAGATCGAAATCTTTCCTTTAAAGAACAATATCAATCTTGAAAAACGATGTTTTTCAAACTTCTCGAAATTAGAAGTGGAATTACAGTTATATATTGACGAGCAAGTTAACATTTGGTTCCGTCATATTACAATTTTCCATTTCAAGCCTCGTAAAGAAGCGTAAACAATTCAAAACTAGCGACCTAGGGAGCCGAAATGATTTAAAGTCTTTCCCTACTCGTGTAAGCAGTGCGTTTGTTTTCCAAGATGGCGGCCGGCACATGACGCGCACAAGAAACTAGATTGCCGCCGGCGTCCGCAAACTGAACGCTGCGTGCCACAGTCGGCTAAAACCAACGCCGCGGCCGAACGCGGCTTTTCGCACTAGAAAGTCTGATTACTTATTCCTGATCGTTTACTTCGAACTAGGAGGAGCGAAGAAATTTAACAGCAAAAATAATTAGGGTTAGCGTTTTATTGTACATAACGGGGCTGGTCTTGCTATGCCGCGGACCCAATTCAAAATCCAATCCTCTCATCCAAAATTAACAATGCTTCGGGGTGGTTGAAACGGTTATTTCAAAAGCTACTTCTTTCAAATCCTTCTTTTATCTTTGTGAACGATTTAAATCTACTTTAGATCGGTAGACAAGGGCGTAGCCAGGATTTTTCTCAGTGGGGGTCACAGAGGCTACTCACCATTTACACCGCTGCTCTCCCGCATGTATCAGCGGGCTCAGTCGTATTATCGTGGCATGAAGGCTCATATTAATGGCTTTTACGGCGTTTTCCCCACCTGAATATTGTAGGTTGTTTGCTCTAAAGAAAACCTACCAGGGGGGGGGGGGTCACGGGCACCCCAGGACCCCCTGGCTACGCCCTTCGTAGAGTGGGCAATTCAGTGTCGGTATCTGAGCAGCTGCGCGCATACCGGCTCCTCCCCCAACCCAAAAACAGTCAACTGATAAAGAGTTGGGGTTTCTTTTTGGGTTAGGCCGGAAGTGTAAGCGCGCAGTTCCCCCCCCCCCGATCTTGTGCAACATGCGGGGCGTAACAGTGGCCATTCTCTGCATGCCTTAGGGATCGAATATTAGGAAAAATAAAATAGGAGTGGAAATAAAAAACAAAAGATCAAAATAAAAAACAACCAAATTATTTTTATTGGCAACTCCTGCGAAAGTAATTCTTAAGGAGGAGTTAGTTTTTGATAACATGTCAAACTTTATTCGCGGTTTAAAAACAATGATATAATTTGAAATACATGTCACTGTGGCATAAAGGATTTCGGATCTAGGTGCTAATGCAATTGATCCAGTGACATGAAGGCATCGGCTTCTTTTGTTCACTCATTCAGTTACCATTCAGTTACTAATCCTAACCGAGTTTCTAGATGCATGGACCAATGGGCACAAAATCTTATCTATCATTTCAATCCGTATTCAAAAAGGACCACCACAAAAACCAAGCTTGAATTGTAGTCAATGTTTTTCTTATTCTTTGGGGTTAAGACTGCATTTGCGGCGGAATTCTTGTCCTCGAATATGTAACCACTTGTTGGCCACTGAAGAGGAAACGAGGAGAAACGCCGATGTTACACCAACAAAATTTAGCCGTTAAAGAATCACAAGGAGGACCCTGTTGTTCATAATTGGATGTTATTGGTTAGGACTGAGCTGAGAAGATTTGAGGGGTCAACATGGGATGAGAGGGATGGGGGTAGGGGGTAAGGTAAAGGGCAAATTTTTTTGGCTGAGGTCACAGTGGTGGGTGGGAAATAGGTTTGATCCTCAGGTTTTGACTTCTTTGAATGAAGAAAGAACAACAAAAAGAAAAGATTGACAGCATGTCGTTGTGCAAAATAAAGTTGTTGTTGTTGTTGTTGTTGTTGTTGTGCACTGTGCGGAAGATCAGGGAAGCAGTTAAAGGGAGGCTCGGGTGGGAAAACGGTAACGATATTCTCGTTCACCTCTCAATTATCTCTACTTTTGTACTATTTCTTCAGACCAGTTCTTGAGCACCTGTCGTCTACAAGAGTTCCAAATTGTTTGGAACCACTTACGGACTTAAAACCACCCGTTCTACGAATTGGATAGTCAAGCCCAAGGTAATTGGCACCAGTTCCCCTAAAGACTTACCCCACTTATTTCCGCAGAGGACTGGGCAGGCTGCATGCTCCGTTTCATAATCTCCCTCTCCAGATCGTTTAAGATTGTACCAAAAAGCTGCGTCTCCCTGTAAGCGAACAGATAAATATCACTTGCGAAGAGATGAAAGATTTTTCTTCAAGACAAAATGATCGTCCATGTAAAGTTCCTCACCATTGTCGGGCTTACGTAAGTCTTCGCTCGCGTAAAAACTGTGTAGCCTCCCCTGCTGACGTCATTCAACTGCAGGAAAAGAAAATAAAAACAATGCAAAGACGCGTCATATTCTTCTGTTAGAGGTCATAAAGCCTTCCTCCTCGCCTAGAAAAGATCATTAGTGTAGCACTCGAAACGTCGACGCTCGGTCAACAATTGTACATAACATGCTCGATTTAAGATAATTCTGAAAATAGGGTGACATCGAACATTAATTTCATTTTAAACTAAAGGCATATTCTTACATAAATAAGCACAGTGGCGATGCGATTTCCATTCGGTGACAAGTCCAAAGGTGAACCTGGATCCTAGAAAAAAAGGCAGCAAGCGGATGGAGAGTTATTTTCAGTGTTTATTTTGAGAATTTTCTTGTACCTTATACTCTGAAGACCTCTCTAGTCCAGTGTCTCAATTTCAAACTCTTCTCCACTTTAGGCTGTACGAAAAACAAGGCGTTTAGTTTTCATTTTTCATTATTCTCAGGGCCGTAGCTAGCATGAGCCAAGACGAAGCAATTGCCTCGTCTTAATTTTGGCGTTTTTTTAATTTTTTTCTTAAAGATTGACTTTTCTGAAGAAAAATGCCACGGAAAATCCTTAAAAGAGCATTTTTAAACCTCTAGATTTAAAAGTTTTCTGGGGGGCATGCCCCCAGACCCCTCTAGCGGCTAGTACCTTCGGCGCTCGAAACTTGCCTCGTCTTGTCCTGAAATCTGGCTACAGCCCTGGTTCTTGAATATTTTACCGATCATTACTTACTCCAAAGTCATGGTGGAATTCATATTGTCCTGCCATTCCGTAATTTGCAATCTGAAAGAAAAAGTAAGGCATCAACTACGAGTGTGTTGGAGGTTGCCAAAGGATTTTTTCAGGAGGAACAAGGTCACGCTTCTTATCACTCTTCAAACATATGTCAAGTGAATCATGAAAAAAATTGGAAACTGACAATCCCCTTCGGGATGTTATCTGGTCAAGTACGAAACATCCAAATGTAATTTAGCGACCAGGTTTCAGTTTGTTCGCATTTCCTTTATATCCCGTTGTTAGTTCTATCCTTTCACAACTCACGGCCTTTTTATTTTTGTCTGCGGGTTCCTGTGTTCTTCCATATAATAATTCGAAAAATTCATATGTAGTGGCAAGTGCTTGAAGATCAGATTATTGTTTTATAGCTTTAGTCTTCATAGGGAGTTTTCAGGTCCTCAATTGCCATCACATTAGCCCCGTATGCAGATCACAGCTTTGCAATTGGAACTTAGGTCTGGGCACCAGACTAATCTTGCGTAACACTGGGGTTAATACCTGTAAAGGTTCCGCTGTGTCCATTTCCAGACCTGTTGCAGCACCAATTCTTCTGTTAACTGTTGCAATGACCTCATCGTCCCAACTTTCCAGCCAAGCACTGTGATGACAAAAAATTTAGAATTAAGATTGTGTTTTCACTCTGTTTCGTTCTTTCTGACCCGTTACCTTCAGAAACAAATTTCAGACTCGCAGATCGATCATCTTCGTTAGTCATCACAAGAGATCATGCGGTGTTTATGTTCGTTTGGTGAGCATCAACGTGTTCCCTATTAAGTCGCACCTCTCCAATTCAGAAACTTACTCTGAGTGTACCGAAGCTTTTAAACGGACAAAGGTCAATTCAACATCTGGGATCTGAAGGATTCTTCTTATTGGCGCTCATGACGAAGAGAACATTACGTCACGAAAAACCGATTGTGTGACAAAGGCCAGGTAACGTAACGTAACGTATAAGTCATTTCCATAAACAGAAATGGCTACCTTTTGCTTACTCTATAATCCGCGTTTTCCAGCTTCCCTGTCTGTCTGTTAAACACAGTGGCTCTTTGAAGCTGCAAGTTAAAGAGAAACAAGTAACCGAGTCATGCATCCGTGAGGGCAGGTGCTGTATTGCTTGGATAATTAAGCAACCGTACTATTATGGATTCTACACGCCCCGATCAGGTTACAGCGGTAAGAAACTTTGTATTAATATTAATCCAAGGCTGCACCGATTTATCTCCCGTATACAATTATAATTTTTTGAATAAACACGTCTCAATCTGGCGAAAAAACAAAAACAAAAAACTCGTACCTAAGGCATT